CCGAGCCTCGGTTTCTCCCCGGGTTGGCTGTTATGGGCAGGTGTGTCCGAGCTGAGCGCCCCCAAGCCGCAGTCCCCTCTGCCGCCGGCCCGAGACTTGCCCACGGCGACCAGCAGCAGCGGCACCGTCGGCCCTGGCACGGAGCCGGGGGCCGGCCACACCCGCGGCCTCGGTGCCTCTGTTGGCTCCAGCACGTGGGCGTGCGATGGCAAATCAGATGGACCCGACTGACTGACTGGCTGCAAACTTAAGCGCCACTTGAGAAAAAATTTGCCCTAATCTGTCCCTTGTTGCACATCTAAGTTCTTTACCATGTTTCTGTTGTAAATAACCCCGTGAAAAATCTTCTTCCTTCTCTGTGTTGTGTGCGTTTTTATTCTTTAGGATACATTCCCGGAGGAGGAATTACCGAGTCGATGGAGATAAACTGCCAAACTGCTCTTCAGAAAAATAATTACATTCTCACTAGCAGTGGATTAGAGCACATTCTGTGAATTCAGGACATCAGTGGGTGTTTCACGTTTGTTAATGTGGTTTTGTTGTTGTTTGGGTTTGTATTGCTGGACAGTTGTCGCGTTTGGTGGCCATTTATATTTATTTATGTTGTCTGTTTTTCTTATTGTGGCATTTTATAGATATTCACACTTTGTCATATGTTGTTCTAACATCTTTCAAAGGCTAAATAAACTCAAGCTGAATTTTTAATGAAAACACATTTTAGTACTTAACACATCACTTGGGGAATTTCCTGAGATCCCACTTGAAGACTCAGTGAAGGGTCAGCAGCTGTCTTTTCTCTAAACATTTGCTAACTGATGTATAAATGTGTTTTTTGTATGTTAATCCAAACTGTTTTATTTTTTAGATTTTATTTAACTATTTATTGAGTTGGAGTCTCACTCTATCACCCAGGCTGGAGTGCACTCACAGCCACCCCAGCGTCAACCTGCTGGCCTCCAGCCATCCTTCTGCCTCAACCTTCCAAGTAGGCGCACTACCACCCCCGGCTAATTTTATTTATTTATTTATTGTAGAGATGTAGTCTCACCAAGTTGCCAGGGCTGGTCTCAAACCCACGGGCTCCCAAAGTTCTGGGATTACAGGCTGAGCCAGCGTGCCCGGCCCAGACTAAGTTTTAAGCACCTGGGGGACAAGGACTTTACACTAGTACGCTAGTACTGTTTTCTGATTCATTGTGGCCAAAGCCAAGGAGTGGTTTTTAGAACCCTCCTTCCAACACCTACCCTCCAGCCACTCCTGATGACAAATATAATTCTTTGATATAGATAGCTAACATTTTCTCAATTTTATATGAAGTATAAATAAGAATAACTTTAGGGAACTGCTACTTTTTATTGATCTATAAGTTGTGCTTTCTAGGTAAACATAATGTGCTTTCTAGGTAAAGGGAGCTTTAAAATTCCTTTAAATGGAAGATTAAAGCCCTCAAAGTGTGGTGTTGGTTTATTATTACTACCTCCTTCAAGAAAAATTAGGTCTCTGAGTATAGGGACTTTCTCAGTGTTGTTTATTGCAGTATTCTGGTGTGGATTCGGTGCTAACTCCCTTATGAGTGATACAAGAACCCTTACTTAAATATTTTTTTGTTTTTTTTGCTTCCTAAATTGGCACGTTTGCAGATAAATTTGCCTATTTGGGATTTTGAGCAGAGATTACTACTCTATTCAATACGAGTTTGTAGAGGTTAGCAAGCATCAAACTTTTATCAAACTTTATCATATTTTCCCCATTTCTTCCCCCCTCTAATAATAAAAATTTAAATGGTACAAAAGTTTCCCACTGCAGGGTATGATGGCTCATGTCTGTAATCATGGAGGCAGAGGTGGGAGAATTGCCTGAGTCCACGGGTTTCAGACCAGCCTGGGCTACATGATGAGACCTCGTCTCTGCAATAAATAAAAAAATTAGCATGGTGGTGTGCACCGGTACTTCCAGCTACTTGTAAGGCAGAGGCAGAAGGATCACCTGAGCCCAACAAGTCGTGGCTGCAGTATGTGTGCGCCACGGCATCCAGCATAGGCAACAGAGACTGACTCAAAAAAAAGAGTCTCCCACCTATCCTTTCAATCCTCAGTCCAATTCCGCTTTCTGAAAGTAAACACTCTTAGCAATGTTCGTTTTGTTTTGTTTTTGTGTGATGTCCTTCTTTGCCATCTGTCTGCTTCCCTAAACTGGGAGGTTCTTGAAGTAGACTGTGGCAAAAGGACCTGGGTTCCAGGTGGGAAGGGAAGAGTTCTTAGTCCACAGATCCAGGACTTAGAATTGGCACCCATGTCCTCACTTAGAATGAGAGAGATAACTTTGTACCAACTGTATAGAATGACTAAGGGGAAGAAGGAATTTTTTAAAAGTTGAAAACAAGACAATGCAAGAGCCCCCTCGTCTATGAAGCCTTTCCTTGACTTTCTCTGTTCCGCACTCCAGACTTTCCACTACACCTTGCATGAACTATGTAACACTTGTACTTCCTTTACTTGCCTGGCTTTCCTCCTGACCAGGTCTGGGATCAAGTTTTGTCTTTAGAGCTCTAGCAACTAGCACTGTGCCTTAGTCACGAGAAAGTGCTTAATAAGTGCTTCGCTTCTGGAATAACTGAACGAAA